TGATACAATGCAGGGGGTGCAGTTCCACCTCCGCCCTCTAGCGGCCGCTGTCTCCGCTTCGTGTGTCTTTCCGTCTTCCTGTACCGCTGTCTCTATAGCTGTCCGAAGTTGCAGTACTCCCTCCCGCCTCCAGTGGCCGCTGTGACACCTCAGGCACTGTTTTCTGGTTGTCGCTGATGTGACTGTCTGCCCTGCAGACAACACGTCTCTTTGATCGGTTGACATCACGGCCGTGCGACTGCCAAGATGGCGGCGCTGTGCGAGGAGCTCACGTTGTGCGGACTGACGGTGTCCGGTGTTAGTAGCCTGCAGGGGGTTGAGGCGGCCGGAGACGATGACAGAGTGCTGGTGACAGAGGCCGGGAGGACGGTGACATTGTACAAGGTGAGGGACAGTATGGGGGTACAGGGGAAGGAGGGGGGTTTGGGGGAATTTATGGCTACGCTCCTATAGTCAGTCCTGTGACTATGGACACGTGGGAGCTGTCATTACTGTACCCACTTCAGAGCCTTCATATTAGAGAAAAGTGTGTTATTCCTCCTGCGCTGTGCACTCTGGAGCTGTGAGACAGCTGGGGGGAGATGCTGTGTGTATATTAAGAAGCTAATTGGCTGCCTTTTGTCCAAACAGACAATCGTTGGTTCTCCCTTATTACTGATCCCGCCTGTAACAATGGCCCTCTCCTGGGATTGGAGGGTTCTGATCTGCTCTAAATACTGCTCCATAGTCAGTAGCAACAAGCAGGCAGCCAGTGAAGTCAGCGCTCCTCATATGTAAACTAGTCCTGTGTGGCTCATGAAGTGATAAGGCCAGCGGATGAATATGACAGCCAGCAAAGCAGCATTTCCTGGACAGGGCAGCCATATTGCCCCCACCTATATCTTATGCACATACCACACACGGAGGGCGATTGTGTACCGGGTTGGGTTTTGTTTTGGCTGAGGACAAATATTAGTCGCTGACGAGTTATTTGTAGTTTGAATAACTTTATTGGTGCTGCGTCTATGTACAGGTGTCGGATCAGAGGCCACTTGGAAGTTGGTCAGTAAAACAAGGGCAGCGGGTGACGTGTCCGGCGGTCTATAATTCCACCACCGAGGAGTGTGTGGTGGTCCACGATGACAAGGTAATCCTCCTCTCCAGTGCCGAGCTTCTCCTCCTCCTACCCGAGGTGTTCCGTCCTCTAAAACTCTCCGACAGTCCGAATCCAACAGACACACATCGTCCAGCAAAGCGTCGCTGCCCCCCTCCCCGCGCCGGCTCCCCTGATGCCCGGCTCCCCTGATGCCCCCCTCCCCGCGCC